AATACACGGGGTAGCAATGGCCTCTGCTGTCTGATCTGCACAAGTAAGAGTACTGGTCCCTGAAGTCTCTGGGTGCTTCTATAATCCACATAAGTGAGACTGTAAATCAGTTATGAAGACTCATCGTTTGACTTGAAAACACTGAGTTGTTCTTTAGGTGGCTTGGCCTTTGCTCTAGCCCACTGCCCCAGACGATTTTGTGAGTAAAGTTACTACAGTCAGGAAGAAATAAACGGAAAAGCAAGAGGACAAATATGATCTTGTTTAAAGGAACTATTGGGTTTTATCATGACCTAAAGCAATGTGCTTTATTCAGCAATTTTTACAAACAGGAAGCTTTATTTAAAAGGCTATGGCACTTGCTGAATCATGGAGAAAGAGAAAACTGAGCGCAAGAATTAGTTTAAACAGAGCAGATTTTGCAATTTTCGGAGCTTTTCTTCTGTCCTTAATGTTCGGTCTTAATTGCCTTAAACAGATACCTCAGAAACGCTGTTAGAATACTTCCTTGGTGCAGCAAAAGGGAGGTGAAATCTAGGTAATCATTTGAGAAGTTTTCTTTCATAAGGGAGACTGCTAATATAAAAGCAAACCCCCTCTTTGATGTAAGGGGGTTTTTGGGGATTGGGGGAGAAAAAAAAGCAAACAGCGGTGGTAGTCGAATTGGCTCCAGACCTTCTCTGAGCTTTATTGGAGACTTGTATTTACAGCATTCTCCTTCCTGTGCCGGGATCTGTTTTTCTGTTTAATCAGAAACAGCCCAAAATCACACGGTACATAGATAGTCCTTGGCTTTGTACTCTGCTGCTCTCAGTGCTGTGTTTCCATTTTACAGATGGGAATACTGAGGTCTGGAAGTAGAGCTTTTCCCAAGGCTACATAGCATAGCAGGGAGTAAAGCCCTCGTGGCTTCCAGAGTTGTCATCTACACCGTGGCTTGCAAGGCTCGAAGAGTATCGCAGTGGTCTGGCGTTAGGATTTCCTGCATTTTGTTCCGTCTTGTCTAGTTTTGCTGAAGGCAACATTTATACTGCCCTGTTTTGAATTACTTCCCCTCTGCCTTGTAAAATCAGGGCAACAGGTCTGTAAGTAGGTATTGTTAAGATGAAATGATTCAGGCTTTACCGCCGCATGATCTCACCACGCCTAAATAAGTCTCATCTCTTTCTCATTACATTTCTCATCTGCAATCCATTGGAGGTAATATATTCTAGGTGGAGACGTGGGCCCTGGGCCTTGATATGAGCATCTGTGCCTTAGCACAGCGGGAGGTCAGTGACTGGAAGGGGAAGGAAACCCTTCTGAAGGGGATGGAGCCTGCCCAGCTGCTGCGGACTCCTGATTTCCCTGCAGTGTTTTTTCTGTCTCCATAAAACCCACTTACTTGATTCTTAATGTATAATTTTTATTGTTCTCCGTGTTGTGAAATGTGCTCTCACTGGGCTGAACCAAGAGGAGTTAGACACTACTCTGTATTTATTTGTCCGATAAGAGTTCCCGAAGTGGGGCCGGCTGAACGGGGCTCCACATAGCCATGAGTCTGACATCTCAAAGTCTTGCTGAGTTGTTCCTGTTGACTGAAACCTCTTTAAATTTCCCTGTCTTGCCTGAAAAGACCTGACAAACTCCCCACTTCAAAAGATCTAATTTTAATCCCAGAGTATCCACCCCTTCCCCAAAGTGGTTTGAGGGGGTGTCCTAATATTTTAGATTAGAGCCTTTGTTTTAGATTAGGGCTTTGTTTCCAGTTACTCTGTATTTATTTGTCCGATAAGAGTTCCCGAAGTGGGGCCGGCTGAACGGGGCTCCACATAGCCATGAGTCTGACATCTCAAAGTCTTGCTGAGTTGTTCCTGTTGACTGAAACCTCTTTAAATTTCCCTGTCTTGCCTGAAAAGACCTGACAAACTCCCCACTTCAAAAGATCTAATTTTAATCCCAGAGTATCCACCCCTTCCCCAAAGTGGTTTGAGGGGGTGTCCTAATATTTTAGATTAGAGCCTGGGCTTTGTTTCCAGTAGTTCTGCCACAGTTCCTACAGATTTTGCCTGAGATGTCATTCAGATCAGATGCACCAGGGGCTGCAAGTGGTGCTCTGGGGAAATTGCAGTGTCTTTCGGAAGTAACATTCCCATGCTAATGTTTTTCTAACTCCTAGTTTCTGCAGACCATAGTGGAGTTATTTTCCTGTGTTACGATCTAACACGAGAAGCTTGGGATATTATCTCAGTCTGTCACTTTGATGGTATGCATTGCATAAGTAAAAATGGGATGAAAGATTTGGTTTCTGTTAAGTCAGGAGAACTGTGTGGCCTTCCTAGCAGAGCTGGAGATTTGGTTTCTGTTAAGTCAGGAGAACTGTATGGCCTTCCTAGCGGAGCTGGAAAGGAAGAGGAGGGAAGAGATTGATATACTTCACTGCAGTCCTCTCATCTAAATATAAATCGTTCTCTTCTTGGATCCTTTCAGTCTGAACTTCTGGGTTATTTGACCTTTCTTTGATAAAAGCTTTCTTTATTTGCAAGAATAAAAGGGCAAGGGGGAGGAAAGGACGCAGCAGAACTGTGTTTTTTTTTTTTTTTTTAAATCTTAAAAAAAATATCTTAGCAGTTGATTTCTGCAGTACCCAGTGCTCGCTGTTGAACCAGCTCCATCTTGGACTCCAACTTTTCTCCTCCTCCGAGTCCCCTGAGTGAACTCTGCATTTTACTCTAAAGCATTAACCAGAAAATGCCTAAGGAAGTTTATGGAAGTGTGTTTTCTCACGGGGAGACCGTGTTCTGGTGGAGACGGATATCCTGAGCTCCAGTCCCCGGTCTTGCTGCCAACTGGGTGGATCACTTTGAGCGAGTGACTTGGTTTGTGCCCATTACACCACTAACCTTGGTTTTCCTTACTTCGTAACTTCAGCTGAAAGAAATATTTGTATTAAATGCTGCTGGTCTTTCAGATGTACACCCTGAAGCTTTTTGAGCTCGGCATCAAAACACAGCTCTGTTTAGTATGTAAAACCACTGGACTCCCTGGCTTTGGTCAGTTAGCAGCCTGTGCAAGGGGATGTGCAGGCGCAGTATTTATAACTGCTCCAGACTACACGCAAGTCTTTCTGGCACTGGTTTTAACCATTAATTGTCACTTTAAATCCAACAATAAATTATTTGGGCAACCACGCTGCATGAGCCCACTGCCAAAAATAAACCAGAGCCTGAGAATTACTCGGGTCCCCTTCATGCTTCAGGGCTGTTGCAGATGGATGGGGTAGGGCACCTCCTGGACTCAATCTGATCGCTTTTTTGGTGTCTCACATATCTTCTGGACATAGTTTAAGCCATCATCCTGCAAAAGATGCGAGTAGCACTTGAAGTGCATTGCATGCATTGGTTTGCCGTTTCCTTCTGAAGCGCAGGATGGTGTGTAGGAATGCCTCTGGATAAGCCTTCTGATCCTTTGCAAATTGGATTTTGTGGCTTACTTCCCTGTCCTCTTGGATAAAGTTTCCCTTTAGCTGCCTCTCCTCTAGTGGAGTTCGTGTCTGTCTCAGGACTGCAAAGCCTTTTATAATGCTCTGCAGGACTCGGAGTCACTTGGAGGGGAGAGACTTTCCATTTCAGAACGTGCTTCTGAATCCCACCTGAAACATGCTTGAGAGTAAGCATGCTGCTTAGTTTAATTCTGAATTTCCACTTGGTTTGCACGAGATTCCTGTTGGTTTGGTGCCTTTCCTGCTGCTTTTATACACTGTGGTATAGAGTTTTTTCTGGCTAGGAGCCCTCTAGTAATGACTGTTATTTTAGAAAACCTAGTTACTGCTCGGGCTGCCTCTGTATCATACAATGAGTCGTAGCGATTACATGCTGGGGAGGAAATTAAATGATCAGGAAAGGTCTACTTCATAAAAAGCAACAGTTGACTTTATTTTAAACCAATTAAAGTGGGGGTTAGAGGGTGCTGTTAAGTTCTACCCCTAGTTGAAGAAAACAAAGCAGGAAAACATACTGTATTAGCAAAAGTGTGATTGTCTAGGCTTATAATAAATCCTGTATAATTCTTGAAAGTATTAAGTTTAAAACAGGCCAGCGTAAAAGGAATGATGGGTTGTAATGGAGAGGGCAGTCTTCAGGAAAGGTGAACGGTTTCAATTTGCTTATAAGGACATACTGATATGCATTCCCGTGCCCTTTCTGGGAGAGGGTGGTAGCACTGGTGAGAGGTGGCAGTAGAAACCAAACTTCTTTAACAGCAAGCTCAAGAGCAGTGCCAGCTTCTTACACATGCGTCTCTCCACTGTTTTAAATAGGACACCTTGCAGGGGTTAGAGGGCAGATTAATAGTCTACAGGGTTAATCCTTAAATCCTTGGTGTTCAACTTTTGAACAAGGGAGGGAAGTTAACAATATTCTCAGAAGTGCTCGGAGACCACCTACTCTTTCATATAGACTGCCAACAGCTTGTCAGATGGAAATGATTTTTGGACAGTCAGAAGTCAGCGTGGAATCACGCTGGTGACCAAGAGCAGGCTCTGTATCCCACAGTCTTTGACTAGTGACTCTTGCCATGGAGGGAAGAGGGTTTCCCAGACCCATCAGAATTCTTCAGAGGGGTGTGAATTAGTGGTGGGTTGATGGTTTACTGTCTCTTGTGGTTAACTTGAATAGACACATGTTCCTCTGAAGATGCTTTTTGGCAAGCGCGTGTATGGCTGAAAGATGTCTAGTAGCAGGAGAACGTGGGAGCTCTGATTTAAAACCAGGATGGTCCGATAAAGCATCGAGTAGTGAATCCCTGTACTGGCTGTGTGCTTTGTGACACTAACCCCTCTGCACGACGCAGTGCTCTGCGGTCTGTTCTCTGTATCACTGCTCTTAACCACAGCTGTCCAGCCACTGGTTTGCTTCCAGATAACCAACTTGGTGTGAGAACTCTGCTGAAACTTGTCCTTGCCAGCTGTCCGTCTGTTTAGTGTATGCCTAAGTGTTCCCTGTACGTTTTCTGTCTTGCAGCATCTGGAGAGGGCCAAATGTGAACTGCGTTGACAGTACTGGATACACTCCACTGCACCATGCTGCTTTGAATGGTCATAAGTGAGTCATCTTATAATGCCTTTGATCATAGAGGATACTATGTGCTTTACAAGCTATGGTTTCTGTGCAATTCATTCACCAGTCTAACGCCGTTTCCACGGAAAACGTGGCGATGGTGCAGCACTACACCATCTTCAGGACAAGAAGTGAAGAACATCAGTGCAGTGAAGCTATAGAGGCATTGGCTGCTGCACAGTATGATCATACATCTCTTTAAAAATTTGGCAAAACACTGAGGTTTTTAACCACCCTTTTATTTATAAGCAATTTGGGTAAGATATAACAACCTATTAAAGGTGGCTTCTCCAGTAACAGTCCTCTGCAGTCTGTCTGGTGTCCAATGTGTTGCTGTGCCTGCACCACTTAAAATTTGCTTTCGTGCATATTACATTTTTAAGTAACTCCAGTCTTCAGTGTGGTAAATCTTGTATTGTTCATTGCTACTTAAGATATTGAGAAATTGAATAGAGTTAAAAATCCTTATTCATCTTCATTGTGCTGGTGCAATTCACTTTTCACCAGAGTGGCTTGCGGATGACTTCAGTCCCTATTCAGCTCCGTTAGTACGAAGGTAACATAGATCTTTCCTGAGCTCATCTCAGCAGTCTTTCTTTTTTTTTTTCCCTTGGGCAACATTTAATAGGAACGCTTTAAAATCACATTTCAAGAGGATCTCTGAAATACTCCTTCAGATGAACTTTTTGTAAAATATTCACTGCAGAATGTAAGCTGAGAAACAAGGACTGAATATCTTATGGACTCAAGTTTCCTTCTCTTGCAGGGATGTGGTGGAAGTTCTGCTGAGGAACGATGCACTAACCAACGTCGCAGACTGTAAAGGCTGTTACCCTCTCCACCTGGCAGCTTGGAAAGGAGATGCAGACATAGTGAAGCTCCTCATCCACCAGGGACCTTCGCATACTAAAGTGAATGAGCAGGTCTGCGTATTTTTCTCTAATAATTGTTGAATCGCTTCCCTTGGGTGGAGAGACTACTTCAGCTGACTCCTGACCAAACTAGTAGCAACTGTTATAAAGTCCTACTTGCTAATGGGATAAGAAGGGCACTGCCTAAAGCAAATACCTCCAGTTCTGAGTTAGTGGTTGAATGAGTAACGTTTATATAGAGATATATAAATATGAGAACCACTCAACACCTAGGAAGTAGTCTCCTGCTTTCATACTGGGCTTCTAAAACTAACCCATAGTTTTTCCTTTCAGTTGCTGGATAGATGAGAAGGTTTCTAGTTCTGTCAAAGGATACATTGGCTCCCTTCTTTGGGAACTAATCAAAGCAGCTTTGTTTAGTCTTTGGCCATGCTCTCTTAGCTACTCTCCTGGCTTGTCTCTAGCACTTGCTCCAGTTAACTAATTTGTAAGTTGTAAGATAATTTTAACCCTACCTGCCCCCAGATAAATCCCTAGCTTAATCTTAAAGAATTGTTTTCTCAATCAAGCAAGAAAAAAAATTTGATGGATTTCTTCCCTTTGTCAAGCCGATAGTTTTTGATCTAGGATGCAGAGGGGTTGATTTGTATGAGACAACTATTCTGTACAGCAGCCCCTGTGTCCACTTTGGAGGGCTGGCTCCCGTGTAACTTCCCCATGGAAGTCAGCAGGTATCTTACAATTCCAGGGAATTTCTGAAATGCTACTGCTGGAAGACCCAAATATTTCTTTTGTTTGAGTTTTGGATAAGGGAACTGATTTATTGAGTGAGTCCAGCTGAGCGGTGTTACTGAACCACTTATGGCTGAGTGAGCTTGGGCAAGATGTGCAGTAACAGGTCCAAATCAGACGGTTAAAGCTACAAGAGCCCTTGGTTGTCCTGTCCTTAAGGCAGGAATATCTAATGTCCCTGTGAATCAACTCCTAAACCACTCAGGTTTTCATGCAGGAGGAGAGGAGTAAATGAAAATAAGTTTGTCTGCTTTAGTACCACAAGGCTAAAAATGTATATTAATTCATTCAGAAGTTAATTCACAAGTAGGTCAGATACTCACAGCTCAAGTTTAGCAAAATCTGTCAAAGTCAAGATAAGCATCTGGGAACTGTGAGTTTCTGCTGTTTAATTTTGATCTGCAGTGTACACTTTTCAGACGCTGAGGAGCAAACTCCCTTCGGAGTCGGGTCTAGGAGTCCTAATCCTGCTTCCAGCCATACTTTGTGGGGACCAAAGTGCCATGCTGAAGTCTTCTGTTCTTCAGTATAAGATGGCTAACTTGATGCATGAGGCTGCACCAAGGCTAAATGGTTGCTTCTAAAGCATCACAAAATGAAAAATATGGTGGTAAAGCTATTCACTACCACTCCGCAATTGAGCAGAAATAACTAAGAGTGTGTATTTTAATGTATTTGTTGATAGTTTTCCAGTTTGGGGCTGTGGTTAATAATGTCTTCAGGCACAGCTGCAGGCATTCAGTCTGTTTAAATAGATTTGAGAAGTGTAGTTAGCTGTTTACAATCAATCTGATAAGAGTTGACTAAGGGCCCTGAGTGTAAACTGTTCTGCTCTGAGTAGGACAGGTATAGGGGAAATCTTTGCAAAAGATTAAAAGCTTAGTGTAATCCTTCCAGGTAATGTTTCATTAATGTCTGTTTAATAGGAACCTTTTTAAATGAGAAAAGTCAGCCGAATAGCCTGTGCTGCTTGTGTTTGGAGTCTTGTAAATGAAATGCACAGTGGTTCAAGTTACAGGAATCGGCAGCTGGAATGGCTTCTGCTGTTAATAGCTTTGACTGGAACAAGATGCTGTGTTCTGTCATTTCCACCCCTTGGGAGTCACCCATTGCTTTGTTGCTATATCTCACCCATTTCATTATCACATTTTTTTTCTTTTTCCTCTTCCTTTTTGTAGAATGCTCTTGAGATCAAAGAACTCAAAAAGTACGGCCCCTTTGACCCATATATCAATGCCAAGGTGTGTACTTTGCTGTCAGCATTTCACTGCATCATTACTCCAAGCTGCACTCGTGTGCTTCCAGGTGCAATGTCATCCAGTTGCAGTAATACCTGTTCAGTTTGCAGCTGCTTGGGGAAAAGTAAAATGTGACCATTTATTTACTGTGGGTTTCTTTCTTCAAAGCAGTTATAGAAACATAATTTAAGGGAAGCTTTTTCTTACTTTCCTGGGGGCTCCTTCATTGCTTAGCCTTGTAGGACTCACAGTGATGGTCAGTTTGCTTGATTTGGCTGGATGACTTCCAAAAGGTAATGTTATTTCAATTAAAATACTTTAGGTTTTGTTTCATGTGCTAATGTTGCTGATAAATGCAAAGAGAAGGAAATTTTTTTTTTTCCTGCTTAAACATGGATGCATTTTCTCTGTGGGCTCTTTGGAGTGAATTTTCATGCCTTTTCTTCTACAAAATGCATAATGCTGTATTTGTCATTTGAATGGAGAGTTAATTCTTTTGGTGGTGGTGGGGAGAAGGGAAGGCAGTAATGTTCATGCCTCCCTTCCCAAGTCCTTCATGTCCTGCTTATTGCATCAGTCTCTCTTTTTTTGCTGTTAAGTCTGTTGTGTCGTCTGACCCTTCAGCTCTAGTCTCCTGTTCCTGTTTTCTTGCCTATTTTGCTCCTCTCTTGCTTTTAGTGGTTCTTGAGCTACAAAAAGGCATGACATCAGCACTTATGATGCACTGAGGCTGAGCAATTGAGGAAGCAGATGAGAAAGTTCCTGGTGATGTTTTCTCAGACACCATTTTTCATTTTTATTTATAATGAAGCTGCAGGCCAGTGATGGCATAATAGTCTGCTGATTTATCATGAGATACTTCTGCTCTCAGCTACCATGCCACAGTTCTTCCAGCCAATTATTTTGGATCCAGCCATCCATGGCAGATTTCTGTCTCTCAGAGTTTAGTTAAAACTTTCACTCTGCTTGATCTGCAGTACCTTAAAAACACACATTCAAAGTTCCTGAGCTTGCTAACCGCTGGGAATTACATTTGGTTTTGCAGACTTCTATTTCAAGAGATACTCTAGTGCATACCTCTTTAAGCACAAATATATTTACATGAAGCTCATCCCTATCAGTGATTTTTACAAAAATCCAGATGGGAATTTTACAACAACCAATGTCTTCTGTGGAAACATCATAGTCGAGTCAGTTGCCTGAAAGGAGTTTTCTAAAATGTTGTCAATAACAGAGTAAAATCTTACACACTCCAGCATTAAAATGTTGAATGAAGAAGGAATATAAAGGTGAAATATACAGTGAGTTCACTTTCTTGTGGATTTTTGTTTGCGAAGTATTCTAATTTGGATTTTATATTTTGACAAGTGCATTATTTTAAGCTCTCAATTCAGTTTTCAAGATGGCTGTAGTGCTCTCGAGAACAAGGCTAGTGTTTTTGAAATCTTTGCCTTGGTTTTAAGGAGAGAGAGATGATTTATACACAATCTGTTAGGTTCATCACAAGTTCCTACCAGCTTTCCACCAGTTTCTGACCAGGTTTGATGAATAGCATGTGGAATCAAACCTGTCACGCCAACCTTGATGTTTTCTCAATAGCCTGGCTGCAGGTGGGAGAACCACAAAAAGTCCAGCTGCAAAGTGTAAGAGTCCTTGCTTAGTTGGTGCTTCCAGCTTCACAACTCCCATGCAGGATGGGATGTCGTACAGAAATGATTGAGGCAAGATGTTTCATCTTTCCAAACATTTTGGGATATTTAGAAGAGGGGGGAAAGCATTTATATAAGGCTGGACTACACTTTAATATCCTGTTGAGGAAGAGATAAGAAAGCCAGAAGCTTATTGCTCTCCTTAAAGTTAAAGAAATAGTTAACAGCTTCTTTTTATGCCCCTTCCTTTTCAACATCTTTTGTTCAATGGGAGGTCCCCGCAATGTCTGTTACGGGCCTGAAGGACTTCTGAAAAGCAAATGATAGAAGCAAAGTTAAGAGATGGAGCAGAAACTTTGCTTCAGTAACTCCTGCTATCCTGAATTTGGTTATTTAATTTGTATGAAGGAACCAACCAGTTGAGCAGAGCCAAAGTAGAAAAAGCTGTCACATAGCTCAAGTTTGTGCACTGCACAAACTACCTTTGTCTTTTTTAACTGGAAGCAAATGAATCATGCAGATTGGGTTTAAAGTGCTATAAATCTAAATGGGCTGCTGAGAAAAGTGGAAGCCTACCATCTGGAGTCTGCAAATGAAACCGGGCAGTGAACCCACCCGCAGAGCTCCTGAAAGTTGGACATATGGGGATCATTTTTTTCCTGAAATGTGTTTGGCGTTGTTGGGCACCTGCAGGAAGGAAGGAGGCCTGTTCATCCTTATTCTGCTCCTGGCAGTGCCGTGTGGGGCACTTATGGAAATTTTGGGCTGCAAAAGGAGGGAAGGAGATGGTACAACTGACCGGGCAGCTCCAGCCAACTCTTCTGGGCTGCCTTGTGCCCGAGGTCGTGATGTGCCTTGGGTGTCACCTCCTGGTGAAGTTTGGATTTTGCTTAAGGGGTTGGTTTTTTTTTCTTTCATTTTTTCCTGCCTTTAACTGAAACTTTATAGAGCGGATGCCAGCGGGACATCCCTGTTCTGTGCTTTAGGATCAGTCGTGTCACTAGATGGGTTTTTAACAGGGCAAAATAGCAGGTTTTTAACAGGGCAAGCCTACGTTAGAAATGCACACACTGACAAAAATCCTACAAAAAAGGAATCTTAGAAATAGGTTGGATGGGACCGAAGGGTCATGTAGCCTCTTTCCGCAGCCCTGAGGGAGGATCAGGTCTACCTAAACCATTCCTGACCAGTGTTTGTCTAGCAGCTTCTCAGAAACCTCGGAGGAGGACAGCTCTATAGTCTCCCTTAGCAGTTTATTCACTGTTCAAATCTTTACAGGTTAGAAAGTTAGAAGACTTACCCTTATTTAAACCGTCTCCCTTTCTTCAGTCATACCTCATATGGTATGTTAAGAGCAGGAGTACAGACAGATATACTTTAAGGAGCTGTAGATGCTCCATTTTATTTTGTGATGAGGAGCATAAGAGCTATGGTATGTGGTATCTAGTTACCAGGGCTTGAAAAATTTGATGAAGCCCATATGAAAACAGAGGCATTTCTGCTTGTGTTCCTGGTTTGTGGTCTGTAGGCAGGCATCGTATGAACCTAGCTTCTCACTCCCAACTATGAATTGGGGGGTCCTAGGATTCCTGCAAGAATGCAGCCCCTGGGCACTGTTGAGTGCTCTATTTTTCTAAGAAGTTTTGAAATTTGAACCCACATGCCTTCTGGCTGCTGGAAAGGAATTTTCTTTTTCCAGCTCCGATAAATATGTATGTCTGAGCGCTCATGCTCATTGTTGAGGCTCCGCTCTGGTTTGTGCTTGGAGAAGCGATGCGGGGAAGGGAAGCAAACTCCCTTGCCCGGAATGGCTCTAGCATTTTTGGCTGCTCAAAGCTCTCCTAAAATGGAGGTGATAAAGACTTATGCAATAACGAGAGTTTCTACTATACAGTCTGGAATGGGGAAAGACTTGCTGTAATGATTCAGGGGAGTTTGCCACCTGAGGATCTCTGTTGCAGGAGAAAAGTCTGGGGATTTCATCCTGAGCGTCAGAGCCCTGACCTGCTTAAGGAAAATTAGACTAAATTGCAGTGAAGATGGGGGAAGTCTTCAACAATTATGTTATTAAAGGATGTTATGTTCCCATTTCTGAGCCATCAGGCAGGTATTTGGAGTTGCTGTGTGCTTTAAAGCACCCTTGAGGGATGTGGTCTCTGTGCCAGGGAGGGATGAGAGGGAGACAGTCCTAGCAGTGGAAATCCCCTGTAGTCACGGCTAGCGTGGCATGAGCGGTGCCTACCCCCCGTGGCTCTTTGGCAGATACCTGCTGCTCCAGAAGGGCTGGGGTTCTCTACTGTTTCTGCGAAAATCGGCAGCAAGCCTCCCTCGTACTATGGGACAGGCTGAGGCCTCGGTCTGGCTGTGTCATGGGCTCACCAATACCTGGGTTCCCTTCCCTGTCGAATAAGAATAATGCGATTTACCAACCTTTTAAATGCCTCGAGACCAGCAGCTTAAGCTGATTGATAAGCGTAATCTCTGTAGTTCTCTATTCTCTCCCCTTCTCACTCCGTATGTGTATTTTATGTACAGACTTCTTTATTCTACAGTAACTTCTGTCCACTTGTATTTGCCTTCCTTCACCATGGCTGCCTCTGCCACTCCAAGTATAGAGCCTGTTGTTTGACTTTGAACTTCTGTGCTAACAGTGATGCCGTACTTTCCTTACCTTCTTAAATATCTCACTTCTGCATGTGGCTGTTGCTGCCTCCTTAGTCTTTGTTTTTATACAAGTTGGAGCTGCAGAGAGCCTCTCCAGAACTCCTCGCTTCTGTTATGCTTTTCACGTGGCTGAAAAATGATGCAAATACCAGATAAAAACGAATGGGAGTTTGCATGCATGACTCCTGTAATCCCTAGAATGACTTAACACGTTAATAGGATTAAAGTACTTATACAACAGAGCAACTTCTGCAGCGTGGTTGTGAAATGGTGCAAAATATTGACTGCTTCTAGAATCCAAAAAAGCTCGTGTGCTCTCAAAGCAAAAAGGAAGGTATTTTGACCAAATTCAGTTTCTAAGGTAGTACTTCTAACTCCATCAAGACAAGTACATTCTCCATTTTGTTTTTTTTTTTAATGGGAACTGTTCTTAAAATGACAAATTCAACCATGATTCTTTCAGCTAAAGTTGACGTGTGTAACTGTACTGAAGTTTTTTGGGTCAAATTGTTAGATAAGGATTTGTTTCTAAAGTCCTTAAACAGAAATCCATCTCTGTATAACACACAGTAGTAAAACTAGAAACTTGAGGTGAATTTAATTTGAGAAAAGGCTCTCTTAAATCTGGCAATGTTCCTATTTTGCACCTGCAAGTGAAATGTGTTAGGTTGCTTGTCTTTCAATGCTTTGCATTGCTGATTTTTAACCTGACGGTTGCTGCATGCATTAATTGGATCTGGCTTTCACTGTGGAGGTGTTCTCTTGTGGCTTGGACATCTCTTCCCCTCAGTTGACCTGAGACCTTGACTACAAGGGCTTGTTAGTGGAGTGATCTAATTGCACTGCTTTCTAATTCACAAACTGCATGTAACTTTGTGCACCCTTTCTCTAAACCGGCCAGCTTGCGAGCTTCAGAATTGCAAAGGTGGAATGACTGTTATAATCAGGATAAGTAGGATTTGAAACAATTGAAGTTTAAATCTAAAATGATGACGATTAAGCTACAGCAGATAGAATTCATGCTGCAGTTTGCCTATCATATATTGCAGCCTTTTATTTTTGTGGCACCCCAAAGTGTGGGATGCTGCCAACAAATAACAGACTGCTTTCCCCAAGTGCTAGCAGAATTAATGGGAATCCAGATACAGCTCGACAATCCCTTAAACTTTAGCGTGGTCCCTTGATTTTGATCTCAGTGCTTTGAAAGCCGGCTATTCCATATGTAGCACCTATTTCCCGTAGAGCAGATTTCCCATATCTTAGTAAAGCTTATTGTTCTGAATGTTTTTGAAGCTTTTACTGGGTGGGTCGGTTGATGAGTTCATGAGGGGATATCTGTGCCTGGTAAATGACTAGTGAAATGGTGAAAACATTGCTCCAGGCTCTGTTTCAAACTGGGCTCTCTGCTTCCCGACTGCTTTTTTTTTGTCTTGTTTTTGCATTTAAACTTCAATGGTTTGAGCGAGGCACGTGGCAGCTCTGTTCTCCCCCGTTCTGACGCGCTGGCGTTTGTGACCCCCCAGAACAACGACAACGAGACGGCGCTGCACTGCGCCGCGCAGTACGGCCACACAGAGGTGGTGAAGGTCCTTCTGGAGGAGCTGACCGACCCCACCATGCGCAATAACAAGTTTGAGACTCCTCTGGACCTGGCCGCGCTCTATGGGAGGCTGGAAGTCGTGAAGATGCTCTTGAATGCTCACCCCAATCTTTTAAGCTGCAACACGAAGAAACACACTCCCCTGCACTTGGCAGCTAGGAATGGTCACAAAACTGTAGTCCATGTCCTCCTGGATGCTGGCATGGATAGCAACTATCAGGTATCTAGAGTGTCTGTGTGAAGGGCTGGTCTGATCACTGGGGAGTGGGGAACCCCTGTAGTCATGATGTGAGAGCTCCACCTAACCCTTCTCCTGGAGGGATCGTTTATGAAAGATGAGCGATAGCTTTGTTTTCCTCTGGGCTGTTTGTTCAGCTCTTGGTTGCTCTGAGAAGCTGCTCAGAGGGATTCTGGTGCTGTGCATGCTTCACGCCTGCTCGTTAGTTTGACAAAGAGCCCCAGACACATAGCGAGGGAGGGGAAAAAAAGCCCTTTTGCCTAAGCTGTTCTGCCCCGCAAAACCATGAAGTCTTGATAGCAATGGAGGCAAACTGTTTCTTTTCCTATCAAGCCACTTGTGAATATGCTGTTTTCACAGCAATAGCTTGTATGTGGTGGTCTTGTCTTTCTTTTTCAGGACATGACCACCTCTTGCTAAGCTGTAGAAAGTCCTTTCTTGGTCCCTAACCCAGGCCCACATGTTTCTCTGAAGAGACCATCCCATTTTCCATTTCAAATTCTCAGCATTGTAGTAATATTGATAGTTTGTCCTCAGTTGTAGATATTGTTGCCCACACTTTGTATGTGATGCCATATATTTATTGCTTCTGTAACCTTCTAAAACATGCCTCCATCACCATTCCCCATTGTCTAGCTTCATGCTATTTTCCATTTAATTTGCAGACTGAAAAAGGCAGTGCTTTGCACGAAGCTGCTTTGTTTGGCAAGACAGATGTGGTACAAATATTGCTGGCTGCAGGTGAGAGAATGTTCCCCTTCTGAAGCAATAACATGATGATCCCTTCACCCAAACTTAAGGAAAGCCCTTTATAGTGGCAGCATATTTCTCCAACCAGCTATCAAAGTGTTGTTCCTCGGAGAGGGTTATAGGAGAGGTTATCTCCTGATGTTTGGCTTTAAATCTGCTTCTCTAGAGCATTTTTTTAGCTCCCCTCGCCCCCAGCGATGATCACACGTGTAAGCTCTAACTTGATTAAAGGCATGAATTTGCATATAGTTTGAAAATATTCTTGCTTTTGCCTTCTCTACACCTGTTGCCATAGGTATTGATGTGAACATAAAGGATAACAGAGGCCTGACAGCTCTGGATATTGTGAGGGAACTTCCTTCTCAGAAAAGCCAACACATAGCAGCTCTCATTGAAGGTAAGCGGTGTAGCTCTGTGTGGGGGCAGGAGGGAAAAGTTTGGGGTGATAACTGTGCCAGTGCAAGTACAGGATTTTGTTCTCTAGTCCTGGAAAGTGCTGAAAGCAAAGCAGCCTTGGGCCAGGTCCCTCGATGAGAATCTTACAGGTATTGGAAGGAATGGTGCTTAAACGCTCGGGTGAACTGTCTTCAGAGCAAGTGTTTGCAGGGGGACTTCCGGGGGGGGATTTAGGGGGATTAGCTCCTTTGCTGAAGGAGTGTGGTATGACTTTTACAGTTCAAATGGGCTTAATTGAGCTTTGTTTAACTCACTTTAGAAGTTAATTAAAATTAAGGATAGCCTAAATCTGCTTGCAGAATGCAAAGTAATAGCTTTAGAAATGGTTTTGGATTAACTATCCTTTATGTGTCTGCGTAGGCAAATAGTCATCCACAGATCTCACATCCTACTCCTCACCTCATTGTGAAGCTTGGGCATGGATTTTGCAGATGAGATTTACAGAAAAGGCCTTGATTACTTGTGGTTTATAAAGGAGCTTGGCCCATTGTGTCTGTCCAAGTTAGGGAATGAAATGTGGCATCTTAGCTAAATTCATACCTTGTAATTATGCTGTCTCAATTTCCTCTCAGCTGTGGGGAGAAAGATCAGAAGCGTATGCAACTGGTGTGCATTATTCATGCTTAGCATTTGAGAGCTTTACAGGTTCAAAGCACTTTGCAGACTTTTAATTAAGCTTTGCCTGTGAGGCTGGTAGGTATTATCTCTATTCTGAAATTGAAGACAAAGATGAGCTTTAAAACTAAAGTTCGTGTAGGTAAATGCAGTTAGTTTGCTCCTGTAAGTGAGCTAGCTGCATGAGATGTTGCTCTCTGACTTTATTCACGTAAGGTTAATGTTTCTGGCTGTGCCTGTGGTTAGGGGACCACAGCTAGAATTGGTTTTCCTGCTGTCTTACGACTTCAGAAGACTAGACCGCATCTCTGTTTAGTGATGTAGCTTGTGTCTACAACACGAAGTAATCTGCTCCATGACGTTGTGTCCATGCAGGAGCTTTGCAGCTTTCTGATTAAAGACTCTGTAAAAGTTCAAAGAACCATCCTTAACCCTGTGCATGTGATTAAAGAGGCCGCCTGCTTCTATTTTGGGATCTGAGCTGCAAGTTTTAATAATGTACTTTGGTTATTTTTTGGAGACTTAATAAGCTGACAGTTGGCCTTCCATCCACCAGGGAGGAATTACCATATGCTGAAGTGGACATAAAACTAGATTGAAATAAACTGACCCTATCACCCCACCTCATTGCAGATTACACGATTGGGAAGAAAAGTGCCAAAGCTGCAGAGAAGACTGTTCAAGCACCGCTTGTTCCAGCCACTGATCCTGTGTGCCGGGTATCTCAGGGTAGGCTTCCATGCAACGCGGCAGTTGCTAGCACTCTTCTTCCTGCAAATGCTGACTTTCCGAGGGCAGAAGCCCCGAGTGATGCTCTTGTCTCTCTCTTCCTTTCACAGGTGATGTGGAAAAAGCAGTTACAGAACTGATCATAGATTTTGATGTGAACCCAGAAGAGGAGAGCCCGTATGAAGCTTTATACAATGCAACGTCCTGCCATTCCCTGGACAGCCTTGCCAGTGGGAGATCTTCAGATCGAGAGTCTGTGAATAAGGAAGCGGAATCAACTGGTCTCAAAGTAGCAGGAGTCAGGCCTGTATGTCGCTATGTGTGTTCATCTCTGCTTGCCTTAGAAGGATAGGTAACTTACCTCCATTTTCATGATTTTGCAGCAGGCTGCCAGTCCCCCAGCTTGAGGAAATCTTTAAACCCATCCCTGACATTGATTAGAGCAGGCAGGTACCTCTCCTTTTTCACTGGTCTGTTCACATAACTTCCGTTGCGTTGCCCACGAGTAGCCGCTTCTACATGCCTGATTTTCACCTAGTGTTGCATCCTTCTGATTTCTGGCAGTTGAATACTGGTGCCTGTGAATTTTGGTTTGTCAGGACATTGCACTTAGCTGAAAGGCTAACTTCTTGTCTAGAAGCAAGCTTTGGCAACTTTTGTGTGGAGCATTTTTCTCATCTCTCTTGCTCTCTGCTTTGCCCAAGAGAAGGCGCTCAAGAAATTATCTTTAAGAATATCCTATTGGAAACTAGTTGGCAGCGGAAACGGTTTTTTGTGTATTACTTGCAGAGATCTGTAGAGGGTACTCAAGGCTTTACAAGGCAATGCAAAGCTCCTGGAACTGTCTCCAAAGAAGTCTTCCTCACCTTCTGTTAGTTGCATCTGCTGCCCCCCTAGCAATCGGTGGCAACACTGCTATGGGGCAGATGGGATGCTGGCCTTGCAGCATGCTGTGTCAGCTTCAGGGTTTGTTTTCTGGTTGGTTTTACAAAGCCTGCTCCATGGATGTATTTTTGGACAAAAAGCAAAGTAGGAATGAACAATTAAACTGCTGGTGGTACTGTAACCATGCTTCCTCTCTCTCTGCAAAGAGGTGCATCCTTTTTTCTGTACTATTAGCAAATATAGTAGAAATGAGACAAAAGCTTTAGAAGACTGATATTTCAGCCAGCTCTCTCTTTAGGGTATGCGGTACAAGATGCGCTATCCTGTTAGTAACTAAATCTTGGTGGCTTATATCCATCTGTGTACTGTCCTGTGTTAATAGTGTCTGATGTGAAATAAGCTCAGCTCTATCACGAATAAGAAAAGATGAGAGGCTGAACTGCAGCGAAAAGGGACAAGAAAGAGGGATTTGCTCCAGGAGCTTGCTGCAGTTTCTCCCAACACTTGCTTGAGTTTTTTGGAGTGAGCGGTTCTCCTCTGCCGTCTTTCCCTGTGCCATTAGATGGAGCTGTTGCAGGGCAGGAGATGACCTAGAGATGTGTTTAGCTCTGCATCAAGACAAGGCAGCGCAGCTCCAACTGCCCACAGGCAATCTTGGGATATTTGAGGAATGCAGTGCAGCATTGTCTCTTGATCTCTAGGGTTTTCCACTATAAAAGGTGCCTCTGGAATCACTTACTCTTGTTACTGTTTCATTAAGACACGAGCGGTATGAGTCTTCCCTTTCTACCCATTTGCATGAGTTCATTACTGACCTTCTCTGTGAAATGCTATGCCATTGAGATTACCAGTCTAGGTCTGAATGAACTGGCTTAAGTAATGAAGCAATAAAACTGTGTACACAGCACCTTCCACCCGAGCAGTTTTATTCTCCTGAAAGCATATTTGGTGCTCACGTGGGTCTGAGCTGGCCTTGTGCATTGTTACCGCTGCGGAGCAGAAGTGGGTGGTCTGTGTTATCAATAGCAGTCCATCCACAGGACTGCAGTACAGTGAATCTGCAGAAAGGGCTCTCTACCCTAACAGATATCCTGCTGGAAAGGAGGAGGAGGAGGAGGAGGAAAGGCAGCAACCATTGCCAAGCTCTGTGCTGTTAGGACTGAACTTCTAGTCCACCCAAATTAATTTCAGGAGGTCCTTACCATGCTGCATTCACAGCAGCATGGATGTAGTGTTGGTGGAAGCAGAAGGCGACGTGCTTTAACACAACGCAGTTGACAGTAGTCTTCTAAATCGCAGAGAGAACGTCCACCCCCGCCTGCCAAGCCTCCACCTGATGAAGAGGAGGATCAGCATGTGGAGAAGAAGATAGGCCATGGTGCTTCCTGTGAGGTATGTGGGACTTGATCTGGGATGTTTTATATGAATGTGGATTAAAGAACAGTTTTAATAATTTGGGAGGAGCCAGTTATGATATTACCTCCCTTGCAAGTCGGGTTGTGAATGTGAAGTTTTCTTTCACTCCAGCATTGCTGCTGTCACTTGCCATGGGAACTTCCTTTGTGCGGTTCTTCCAGGGCACCTCTGTGTTGACCTTCAGCCTTACTTTCCTATTCTTGGCTGGGAATTCCCTTAGGAAGAGTTTTTTCTGAATCACGTTGCGATGTGGACTGTTGCCCACTTGTAATGACCCCACCAAATGCATCTTCACTTGAGACTGAAACCCAGAGGGCTGTGGCTTCCTGCTTCCTCTTAGCTTCCAGCTGTGGAGGAGGTGCGTGGGCTTGTGGGTCCCACTGACGTGAACAGGGATCAGGGGCTTGAATTCAGCTGAGAGTCTGGCCCAGCATATGTTAAAGCTGTCTTCTGCAGAGGTCAATGTGTGTGAGCTGCTTTTTGGTGAAACTAAAGTTCTCCTATTCTGCATTGTTGCTCCTGGGCTTCCTATTGCTCATTTTTATTCACCTGCCTGTGAACCTCAGATGTGAGAGCTCCTCGGGAGACCCGCATATGGGGGTGTGTGAAACCACAAATGTGTCTTGGCAACTTCTGCTGACACCCAGGAAAATCTTCAAAGCAAAACCAAATCTTGTGGATTCCTTGGCTTTTCGAAATGCAGTAGGTTGTATGTAAAACAAGTGGAGTGTGTGCTGCCTCTAGCTGTCAGAACAGACTCCTGTTCACCAGATGCTTTGCTTTGCGTGTGTTGATCTGCTGAAGTTTCTACGAGGCATAAATGTGATCTGTTTTCTGAAGTATGTCAAATCTACATGAGACGTGTAAACATTATTTGCTTCAATAGAACTGACTTTTTATAGAGAGAGTAAAGCTCCAAACAGTGCATAAACAGTAAAACGGAAATGTGAAATTGTGGACTGATCTCTCCACTGCTGTTAAAATGGTTTTGCAGTGTGTGATAACCAGTCCCATGGCCAGCTCTGGGCAGAGGAGAGCTGGGTAGCAGGTCACGGCATAATTGGAAAGCAGAACTTGTTTATGACGATAAACACGAGGGAGGGAAACGTGCATTGACTGCTCTTGCTGAGTTATCTTGCCATATTTAATTATAAAACACCTGCTGTGTTGTCCTGCCATTAACAGCTTTAGAAACATGATCCGTTCAAGAAAATCTTGCTGGCAAATAAGCTTGTATGCAAAGTGACTCGCTGGGGAGATCTTGATTTGCAACCAATTCATTGATATAACTTACAGGCAGTGTGTGTCGCTGCCTGGAAATGACCTTCTAGATGTACCGATAAGGCAGTTTGGGGTCTGATTCTTTTTCTTTGCTTTCTACTTCTGGGGTGCCCTGCTTTTCTGACTCTTGCTCATTATTTATCATCTCAGTACATGTTCTCTCTGGGTTGGGCAGGCGTGAACAGGAATACGCTTAGGGAATGCTGTAAACGTCTCGGAGCAGCATCCTGATCTGCCATCCTCCAGACCTGCTCTCGCATTAGAGCCAGGACAGTTAGTCATTGAATATTCTGGCGTTGGGCCAAACTCTAATTTCAAAAGTAGTCTTTTTATTCCGTTGCCAAGATGGGGCTATCAGTCAAAGCAGATGTGCATAAACAAGAAACTTTTAACTTTCATCATGGAAAAACATTAGTACAAACAGGCAAAAGAGCTGATTGTTTGGAGGTGCTCGAGTGCCTTCTTCCACTATCTGCAGAAACCTTCTGGGTTTGTAGCTGAATAAGAGTCTGCGTTGTCAAATTAAACTTCAATTCCATTTGTTTACTACTCACCTCCGAAAGGGAAGTGCAGACAAAAGACAAGGCGCCATGATTGTTCCAGCAGTTTGGTCTGCAGTTCTGGTAGGGGAGGAGAGAGAAAGGGGACCTTTTAAAAAGTGTTTCAAAGTCCACTGCTGTGGATTAAGTACACTTTAAAGAACATGGTCATTATTAACAACATCTTATTTTGGGGCTTTGCTAATAGTGAATATTTATACATGCTAACCAACATGTATAAATAAATGAAAGATGAATTGGAAGAAAGTTTTGTTTGATTTTGTTACTCCTGGTTGCAGAGCCTACAGAGCAAGCACGGTTTGCCAGCAATGGTCTTCATTTTGAGTGAATTTGAACCTGAAACTCTATTTAAAGCTTGGAAGGATGAGACACGGAGAAAATAAAGCGTAACCAGGCCTATAAATGCATGCACAAAAGTTTACCAAGCAAAAGCTGGGAATTGTGTGCTGCTAGGGAGCTACTGCCTTCAAATGCGTTCAGTGCATTTGAAAGAGGACAGCACAATAATCATCATTTGCAGGAGTCTTAGGAGAATACTGATGCCTGGCTTGAGATCCAGGCTACAACTGTTATGACAGGCTGCTGCTGTGCAGTATTTTTCCAAGATCTCTGGCGAGAGTCTATTACCTACTGTTATGGTCTGATGTTTTTGTGCCACCATCTGGTCAGAAGTTTTTCCCTTAATTTGCTCATTATGAGCTCCTTCACCTGAAAAGGAGCGGGTCTGCCTGACAGCTCATGCTTGAAGCGGGTAGAATAAATACTTTCTTTGCTGGACATGGTCCATTTCCTCCCATTGAGAAAGTTGATTTAAAAGCCAGCTGGGTTTATGCAGGAACAGTACACGGATGCAGGACTCTTCTCTGTGCTGCTGGGTGTCTTTCCAAGACTCCCTAAGCTTCCAGAGGTCCTGGCTAGATTGCAGTCGGGTAGGTACCTATTTGCCCTTGAAGCAACTCAGATGCTTTCACTTTGCGGAAGATATTGGAGGTGGTGCTTAGTCTGCTGTCTAGACAGTGGCAGTTCCAGGAGTCTGTGAGAGGAGTATGAGAGCCCTCCTTGGGGGGATGTTTTGTTCAGACCTGTTCTTCCCTGTCTTGGCAGCAGGTAGGTATCACTTGCTTTCTGGCTTGGGTTTGACCCCACCGCGGTTGGCTGTAGGCACACATGGCTCCTGGGACGGGGTTGCGTCAACCTGCCAGGGTCTGGCCAGGAGATGGTGCTGAAAGGCAGCTGACCATGCAGGCAGGGTGCCATGAAGCCCAGTTTAGCCCCGTTAGCACTGGGATGGCACACGTGGCTCTCTAAGGATGTTGAATGCCTGTCATCCTTGGCGTTGAGGTAGACCGTCATGTGCGAGTCTGCAGCAAGACTCATTTGGATCCTGCATCAAGACCGCATCCCTGCGCATGGATGGTGGCTTTCCAGAGCAGCTTGCTGGAGGGTCTGCCAATATTACAAACAAGCTCTAATCAGAGGCTTTTTGGGATTTAAATGCATACAACCGCTGCTGCACATCCTGGGGTTAAACTGAGTTTATACAGTGTTGCCTGAGGGCTCTTTAGTCCTAAATGCGCTGTGCATCCTGAGGTTAGAATTGCTAGATACTGAGACTTCTGAGAAGGTGGCAGGGATTTGGTTGGTTTTTTTTTTTTCAGCCACATCCTAATAGGGCCAGCAACTAAATAGTGAATGACAATGCAAATTCCAATAGCAACAGTAAGTCTGAGTTGGGATGAACAGGAATAACGGTCTCAGCTCTTTTCCCCCCTCCAGGCTGTCTGCAGACCTTGCGCAGTCAATCAGTTGGTCAGTGCTAGAAAGCTGTCAGCAACCTTAAATACTAGAAAATAAAGGGGGTTTGGGTCTTCTTTTTTGAAGGGGGGAAAAAAAAGAAAAGGGAGTATTACATTTTGGATCACACTCCACAGCGAAGGTGTTGCCTCTGCCAATTCCTTGCTTAAACCATGGCATAAAGAGGCCTTGTGCTTTATTGCTGGGATAAATAGCATTGCTTTGTGGAGCACTACATTATGCTGTTTTTCATTAGGCCTCTGTTGCACGAGGAAAGAGCAGGGGAAGTGGAGCTGAGGAAGAGGAACACCCTTACGAGCTGTTGCTTACAGCAGAAACTAAAAAGCCAGTTGCGGTGGATAGGAAAACAAAAGGTAAGTGACCATCCAAAAAGCAGAGCTGTTTGCTTAGATGCATTTAAGGAAAATATAGAGGGCAGAGAGTAACGGGAACAATCAAACTCTTTGTTGGGTGGGGTGGCTGGGGTCTGGATTGCAATTGTTTTGTTTCCTGGTAATCTCACTTTTATAAAGGAGAGATCTAAATGTTCCTGTACAAAATGTACACGGAGGAAGGGCAACTCTGCTATTTTGACAGCTAAGAGATTGCAAGGACCTACTCTGTTAACGTAGAAAATAAGCAAATCTTGTGCACAGTCAAGTAAATGCAGAGGGGTGGAAGGCTGTGCCATGTTGTTACAAGCGAGATGAACCAACGCAAGCATTTAAATGAGCCGTATTCTCCATCCAGCTGAATTTGAAGACCTGCTGGCATTGCATGTTTATATCGGCAGATGATTGGCCCTGCTATCCTGGTCTTAAAATCAACATCCCGCTGTGTATTAAAGCTAATTCGAGATGTAAACTGACAAAGGAGGAAAACAAACATGTGTAGAGCAAGCCCCTTTCTAGAACTGACTGAAAATCCACTATATAGCCAGGTTAAGTATCAAACGAGTCTCTCTTCTCCCAGAGGGACTTTTGTGCTTTACAAAGGATCTGGGAACACCTTGTCTCTTGTGTTTGGCTATGGCTGGGCTTTTTGGCTTTCCTTCAACAACAACAACAAAAGACTTGTTTAGAGGAAAAACATCTCTTGCTTCATTCAAAAGTCCTGAGCAGGAATTTGGAAGGATTTAGTTTGGACTCTAAACCTGGAAACCATCTCTTTCATCAACTTTGAGGATGAACAGAGGATAATGAGGACTCGAGGTGATGCCTCATTGACTGCCCTGTAAGACCTGCAGCTTTTTTCTTTTTCCTTCTTGCAGCATGATAGCTTTCATTCCTTGAGTCCTGCCGCATTCCTAGCTTGTATAGGGTGGCACAAGAGGTCATTGTTTTCCCACCAGCATTTGCCAAAGCCACTTGCTGCCGGAGGCAAAGTTAGGGTGTTTTTCGGGTTGGTGCTTTGTGGTCTCGGCCAGGAATAGTCCTTGGGTGACAGCATTGAACCAGAAGCTTTCAGGCTATCTTTTCAGTGTGCAGCTATTGCTGGTTATTCAAGTGCTGGCTATTCAAAGTGACGGCTTTGCTCCTTTCTTTGGCTACCATGTCTAGGCTTGATTAATATGAGTGAAGGTGTGTCGTAATTATGTGTCAGATTAAAATAAAATCTGAGTAATTCATCTGCTTGTTCTTGATGCAAGTCTCTTTGAACACCTGAAGACGTTGGTACTGCAGGCCCTCTAAGCCGCGTTTCATGGAGACGTTGTGGGGAGCATCTCCACCTGTTAAGGATCCAGAGCAGAGTCCTGTCTTTTAATGTACAGCTAGAACGATACTAGCTGTGACTTCAGGGTTTGCAGTCTATGGAAAGTGTTAGTGTGTTTGTAACAAACCTAGAGCTCTTTTCACTGTTGTAGTGGGAGAAATCCAAGGATGCAGTTGAGTTTTCTCATCTTCCAGGACTTGTCTGCTCTTTTAAATGCAATTAGCGCTATGACTAATGCGGTGGAGCCTTCGATCTGGTGGAGGTGAAGAGCTGCTCCAAGGGGAAGGGGCCCAGCCAATCTATTTCTCATCTCTTGCGTTTCTTACGCTTGCCAGGGCCATCTCCTGTTGCTCTTCGTGGTGGACCTGGAAAAAGGGACACGGTTGTTTGTCCCCCTTCTCCAGAGGGTACCAGCTGTTTTCCAAAACATCTCAGTGCTCCCTGTGGCACAACTGCATGTGTGGCAGTGTCCCCAGCTGGCAGCTCTCCCTGTACTGCAGGAGCAGCTGAGTTTTGCAGGGCCCCATGTCATCCTTCACCTGCTGCTTGTCCTCTTGGGGACTTCAGGCTTCTCAACCCCAGTAGGAAATGAGGCGCTGACTATTTTTCTCTTTTGTCTTTAGCACTGACTATTTTGTGTTGTTCATCCTTGCTTTCTCTTACAGCATTACAGGTTGCTTCTTTCTGCACACAAATTTCATAACTGCTCTGAAGGGTGGAGCAACTTTGAAATCTGCTTTATTACACTGGGAACAAAAGGAAATGTTTCCGGCTTTTGCGGTTGTTGGGGTCAGATACCAGACGGGCATGGGGAAGCAGGCGTAGCCAAGTATGAAATGCGAGTTATATGCTGATGGGAGGGGGGAAGATGCATTTAGGGAGTAGCAGAGTCGTTTTGGCAAAGAGTTAAACAAGGCTGAGCGAGGGACTGAAGCCTTAATTGAGGTGTTGGAGAATTTTCCCACCTCTGGATCAGAAGGGTCCTGGAGCATCAAAGGCAGCAGCTCAATCCCAAGACAAGGAGCAGGCTGAAGCATGGCTTTGAATTGCTTCTTGGCCCTCGATCTAAGAGGCTGGGCTTCTAGATGTTACTTGATGAGTTCTGGAGGAGCCTTTGGTCAGAAGAGAAGGACTGATTCTTGCGGGCTATTGAGAAGGGCTTTTCAGGGCAGCTGAAAGGCTGAATTTCAGGCACGCTGTTTTTAATGGTGCCTTTCATATGTGATAGCTGCCTTTGTTCCTCTTGCTGCAAGTTGTCTTGTATCCAGTGACTAGATGAATGTGGTATTATCCGCCTGGCATTGGTTGCCTTTTGTGTATGTTACAGCAGTTTGCTGTCACATGCTGGAGCACTAGGAAAAGTTGGCTTAATGTTTTGGGCAGAGTATCAGAAGTGGTTTGAGCCAAATGCTTTCCCATCCCCTTTGGTAAGGGAACTACGTGCAATCGCATGCATGAAGTCAGGGCATTCAGACCTTGTAACGGGACTTGTAAATAGGCCAAGAGTGGCGAACTGACCAGGAGGAGCCTGTACAACTCCTGCTGTTGAGAGAGACCTGATGGAGGGTGAATGAGGAAAATACTTCTGAGTTTTGGTCTGTCTTGCCTCTCAGGAGAGTCATCCACAAGTGCTGTCAGCAGTAACCAGCTGCAGGTAGGACTGACTTGGTTCCTCCCGATAGTTATTAAAAGCTGATTTGTTGAGGTTCTGCTGTGTTGCTTCCATAGAAAGCCCAGCCTGAAGTCCCTACTTTTCCATTCCTCCTGCTAGAGTTTTTATTTACGGTTGTACTGGCTCAACCAGACATACGGCTGTGCTCTAAACCAGTTATCTGACCCAGTGATAAAAGACAAAACATGCTGCTGAGAGATTTAAAGAAAATATCTTTTCACAGAGCCAGAGTATGGCTACAGAAGGAGTGGGATGGGTCTCACTATAGGGAATCTATGGGGACACATGGGTCTTGCAAACAAAGATTGGAAGGGACAGATCCCTCTTGGTTTGCCGCGAGATGAATGATAGAGTAGAACCACAGCCTCCTTTGGTTTTATCATGGCTGGAGGACAGACCCTTTTCCCATGTCTCGGGTCCAAGCGTGCATTTCTGCTGTCATGATGTATTTAGAAGCTTCTCTGCAGGGTCACATTTAGTGATCTCTCTAAGCAACTATGGCAGTGTTTTATTGCCCTTTCTTGAAAGGCGAGTAGGGGAAGGGGTCTAAATGAGCATGAGTTCAGGTAGCTTTTGGAGAATAAACTCTGCCCAAAATGACAGAGCTTGAGACTAATACAGAAGCATACTGTACATTTCTGGATTCTGTAAATCAGCCTCTGCTTCAGTTTTACTGCAGTTGAAGGTTATTTTTGCACCTCTAAAGTAGCACCAGCTTCCCTCTCTTCTGTGGCCTTTTATGCCACAGGAGATAGATTTGCATGCTCCTCACTTGACAAATTCCAGCATGATGTAGCGCGGGAAGCCTTTTCTATATGAAAGTTAGAGGCTAGCATATGCCCTCGCTAGTTTTAAGGCTGGGGAGCTTGAGCAGAAAACAGCTGCAATAACAGCTTCATTCTCCTAATCCAGGGGCATGATAGGGAAAGAAACTCGGTCGAGGCAGGGCGGTTGCAGTTTAGTGTTACGAGTTTAGGGAAGTGTTCCGTATCTGGAATCATCGGTCTGCTGGCAGGGGAGCTCTTAATTGAATGCTTCCTGGGCAGCAGTCTGTACCCAGAAGGGTGCTCCTGTTCCCATTAGGTGTTGGAAGTAACCTCTCCTGTTGGTGAAACCTGCAGCAGGCATGGCTGAAGAAGTCAGGATCAGTCAGATGTCTGTGCTTGGGTGTAAAATCAGCTAAGGGAGTTGGATAGAAGTCCCTATGCTAAGGACAACTCCCTCTTTACTCAAAGGTGTAAGCGGAGGAGGATGCTTTCAAATCCCTTGGCGTGCAGCAGATAGATGGAACTGGGGTCTCTCTGCTTTTCTAGCACCTAAATATTGTTTTCCCCTTCTCCAAATTCACTACATGCTTGGAAAAATGAGTACTGTTCATCTCTTTGCCATGAGAAAAGTGATCAGCAATCAGCTGAATTATGTCAGTAACCTATCCCAACAATGTACCCCTTCCCGAGATGGCCAGTGGTTGTTGTGGCTTCTCTGCTAGCCATCCTGAGGGACCTTTAGTTGAAACCCCAAAAGGTAAGGCCTGTGGAACCCTCAGTGTTCCTGCCATGTGCACCTCGGTGATAAAAAGGAGCGAGACGACTCTTTCCTTCCTACATTAGTTCTTCTGTCTGCAGCTTTCAGGGCAGGCTCTGAAATGTCTCCTTCAAGACGTTCCTCACATCATCTGAGCAAGTGCAGTTGCCCTTGCTTCATCCCTTCCTTCCCTGGCAGCTGCCTTGTATTTCAAAGTCCTTCACTGGCTCGAGGATGAATGGTGGCTGTGATTTCTGTTCAACAGGAGCCCTTTTGTGAGTCTCTGGAGCTGGATTTGGAGCACTTTGTTCTGGCTGGACCCAAACGTTCCAGCACACGGCATAAACTTTCACCAGCCGCGTCTCTGCCTTCAGCAGAAATGTCAGTAAAGGTTAAGCTGGGGCATGGAAGAAATTATTTCCAAGGAAGGAAAGAGGTTAAGAAGAAAGGCTGTTGATTTTGCAAAAGTTTTTCCCTCCCCATCAGGTTAATGTGACTGTCCCATCAATGCTGTGTCCCTCTTACCAGGTCGGTAGCTCTTTCTTATTAATACCAGTCTGTCCTATGAATGCAGCGTGTCTGATCTCTTCTAAGGTTTCTCTCCAGCATTACAGCTTCGTAACTTTGTGCAAAGTAACTGAACATAGTCTGGTCTTGAGAGCTTCTGATCGGGTGCTGCTGTTGGCACTCCCCAGCCAGCATTAGGAATGATGCTGGTGACACCACCTGCCCGCAGGGGATGTGCCTCCCCCTTGGCAACTTCAGTTGCAGAACTTGTGGTTTATGTGCCCGTGCAAGATAATCAACAACTACTTCATTGTCCTGGAATCTTTAACTCGTAGGATCCAGAATGAAATAAGCCCTTGCATCACTTGATCCCAGCGAGAAGCGAGGTCTGCCGGCGCGCTGCCCTGGCAGTTAACCTCCGTTCAGGCTTTTGCTGTTCCTGACTCAGCTGCCAACTGAACAAGCTGCTTTAGCATTTCTGTGGAGTAAACAAATGCCTGCGAGAGGGACTAGCTTACGCTCATCAAACATAGAGTGCATGAGACCCCAGGACCTAAAGCAGCTTGCAAAGGCAAATGACTAATTCAGTCCTTTCCTGCCTCATTTCTGGTGTGAGGACAGACCACCAAACCAGATGGGTGTTAGGGTTTGAAAATGACCTGGTCAAGCCTCGTGCTGGAAAGGATGCTTGGGGGGAAGGAGTTGATCTCACTGTTGTCGCTAATAGGCTGCTTTTAGTTAAAGATAAGTAAAATTCATTAGTGTATTTTGCCCTCACTGAAATGAGGATTCCTTTGCCTTGGCTTCTGCCTTGCAAAGCAGGCAATTTCCTCTTCACATCTGAACATCCTCCTTGCATTTCAGAGCCACGTTATCGGGGTGCTTTGCCTTAATGCTCCTTTGCAGTGTGTTTTTGATCCTCAGACCGAAGAGTGTTTCTTCAGCACTAAATGGAAGGGGTTAAAATTTGCAAACAGTTATGGACAGGTATAGGAATCCTTGGTAAACAGAAGTTATACTTAGCTTTACAGTTTTGCTTTTGCAGTTCGAATGTGCGTAATGTGACCAAGGTGAGTACACGGATGTCTGTGCACACGCTTGGCAATTGGGATTGATCAATTATTCATGATTTATGCAGGGCCCTGGTACCTGATATTAAAGATGTTGGTGCAGGAGTAGCTAAGTAAGAGTGTCATATTTCTGGGACAGCCGGTACTCCACGCAGCTCGCTGCGTTAGTAGATCAGACCATTCTGTGTTCAGTGGTTCGCTTGCAAGAGAGAGACTTTTTGATCAAGTTTTTTATTGCGTAAACTGTTTATTTCTCTCCCCTGAGTAAGGAGGAGAGGTTAAACTCGGAAACCACTAGGGAGGAAAGCAGTGTTTTTTTTGGGGAACGGATTTTGGAACTCGCAGGTTGATTACAGTCCAGAAGTTTTCCCTCCCTGCAGCTCGTGCCAAGAGCAGGGAGCGCAGCTCTAAATAACACTTTGGCCTTTATGGAAATGTATCAGATGTTCCAGGAGCCTCCGTCTCTGCTTCTCCTACCTCACTTGCTCTCTCTGCAGGATATAGTTAGCACTTCTCTTAGCCTTATATAGCAAGGCCTGATAGTTAGTGTTAACAGGAATAAAACAACAAGGAGAGCTGCCAGATTGCATAAATCAGGCCAGTGTTTGGAATTTCATAAATGCCATGACTTTGGGTACAAGTTGAGCACGCGGAACAATACTGAACTGTTCTCTCTTTATCTCTCCCTCCCTTGCTGAGGGAGGGCAGGGGGAGAGCTGGAATTTTGCTGCTTCTTCCATGTTTTTAATTTCCCCCCCCGCCCCATTTTCATCCCCTTGAAGACCACAGGAGGAGCAGTTCCGCAGCCAGGACTCTGCCGACGGCCAGGACATCCAGGTTCCAGAGCAGTTTTCAGGGTTGCTTCACGGTTCTTCCCCGATCTGTGAGATAAGTGAGGACCCTTTCAGGCTCGTTTCCTCCGCGGAGAAAGGAGGCACAGAAGCTACAAGCCACCCACCTGCTATGCAGCTGGAGGATGCTGACTTACCTGCCTCTGGATCAGTACGGACCAGCTCTCCGGACCAAAACCAGAAAGTGGTCTACGCAACCATCCAGCACACGCACGTCAACCGGGCGGATCCTGAAACTGTAGTCACGCCCCACGTGCTACAGCACCCCGGCGGTGCTGAGGAAGAGGGGGACAGAGCTGTGGGCAGAGCCCACCCAGGGAGCAAGCCCAAAGCCGAGCTTAAACTCAGCCGCAGTTTGTCCAAATCGGACTCTGATCTTCTGACCTGCTCTCCGACAGAGGACGATGCCATGGGGAGCCGGAGCGAATCACTCTCAAACTGCAGTACTGGGAAGAAGAGGCTGGAGAAGTCCCCGTCCTTTGCTTCGGAGTGGGATGAGGTAAGGCTGACCTTGCTTAAGAGCTTCTGTGCCAGGAATGAATCTGTACAGTGTGAGCTCCTCTCTACCGCACTGGCCTTCGGAGGGGGTCCTGGGTGGTTTTCACTACTTTTACTAACTTTCACATCACATTAACAGGCAAATGCTCACTTGTAAGTCTTTAAGGTGTTAAATGCCAAAAGATAGGCTTAACTGGAGTGGGGGAGAAGAGGAATTGCAAGAAGTGAGGGGCTTTTCAAAGTTTTTTAAGTTGCTCAAATACAGGACTTGATTTCTTTTAGGCAAGCCAGGTAAGTTTTTACATCCCCAAAACGAGGGAGAGTTGATAACAGTGCTCCTCACAAATCTGTATGTTGACCTCTTTCCAATTCTTCTCCAGCATCCAGAGGAGATGTTTGTTTCTGAGTCCCTGTTGCTGGGGGCGTTGAGCAGTGTCCTGGGTTCACGGGGATGGAAGGAAGAGAGTAATTAGGCTGTGTTTTGTCTATTTAATAGCTCCCGCTTTCCTCTTCACATATTTATTTCAGAGGCTTGTTAGAAGTCACTTTATTATAGTACAGGAGGCCCATGGATAGTTAAATATTTCATGCTTAGAAAGTTGGCCCTAGTGAACCACTCAGGCGAGATTAAGTGTCCCTCTGAAATTCAGCACTGCAGCATTACCGAAACATTCTTTGGAGATGATTCTCTGCTGGTAGAGCAGCAGCGCTGCAGAAGAGATAAGCTCAGATGAACCACTCTTTGTACACTGAAAGGAAATAAAACCCCTGGTGTGGTGCTGGGGGTGTGGAGCTGTGTGTGCCGGGGGTGTAAACTCGTGGGACGGTTGTGCCCCTGTCCTCTGTGCACTGACTGATGCTCGGCTGCCTCTCTGATCCTGACTCGGAGATAAAGTCATCTTTTGTGGAAGAGGGAGGTATTCAAAGATGTTAAAGCAAAGTGGGAATGCCTCCTCAGTACGAGCCCATTTTTCAGTTCATACTCTCACTCCCTGCAGTGTTTCAGGGTTGCCAAATATATCTATTTTCCTCGATAGCTGTTTTGGTTGTAGAGGCTTTGCTGTTAATTACCTGGGTCAGTTGTACTGTGACTGTGAGTGAAAGATTCTGCGGCAGAAGGCTTATTTGAAAGGACAGGATAATTTTCACTGTGCTTTTCATGCCTAACCGAACTGTTTACAGCAAACGTTGAAAGGGAAGGAGCCTTTGGCTTTACAGTGCTGCACAACTTTACTAGTAGCAGAGGTCAAGTGTTAGTGTGCCTGTGCTTCCTCTGCTCGGAGAAATGAACCCGCAGATCTGCTTCCCTGCTTGTAAACAAAAAGCATCATTTCCACCCAGTGTCAGCCTAACAAGCCACCAGAGGAAAATCTGCTTTTCCTTCCCTTATGTTTAGGTGAGGAAACCAAAGAAAAATGTGAAAAATTCACATCTGTCTACAATGGGGCAGGTCTAACTTAAAAAAATTTATACTATCAAAACCTGATGGTTTTATTTGTCTTCCTGGTTTCTGGTGTAACTTAAACATTTTGTGGAATTGCTTTAATCTGGTAGTAGCATCCTGTGGCTAGAGCACTGATTTGCCTTTGGGTCTCATGGCTGTCACAGACCAGCTTGAATAATTTGAGACAAAGGTTTCTCCTCCCTGCCTCAGTTTCCCCATCTGTGAGATGGCGATAGCCTCTTTTTGCAGAACGTTTTTGTTTCCACTGAAAAACACTATGTAAAGTTAAATATTCTCGTAAGAAGGGGGACAAGCCAGCAGCTGGTGATTCACTGCCTTTAGCTGGATTTGCTCTGTAATTTCCAAAGACTGTATAGAGGCATTTGGGGTCTCATTCTGACTCCTGGTGCAACGGTTGCCCTCTTTGATGCTGTCGGCAGGAGGGGCACGGTTCCTGGGGCAGAGCAATTTTCGATAGAAGCAGCATAAAAGGGAGCTGCTGATAGTAGTTTGTATAGTCAGGTCAGTTCTTGCTATAAAATATCCTAAAGCAGACTCCTATGATTGGTAGGAAATGGTAAAGATGCGCCTGTGGGGAACACTTGGGGTTTTTTTGCAGTGATTTGTACGTGCAGAAAGGGGCTGGTCATAATGGCAACAATGAGATTTAAACATAAACGTAGTGCTGTTGTTGGAGGTTTAATTAGTTCCCTGAATGGGATAATGCAGCTGCTATGAATTAGATGCAACTTACAGCCTCTGAATTTACCAGGCTAATAGAAAACCTTGTTGAGCCACCCCTCTTAGCAATGATTTGGCTCTTCCTCTGTGGTGCGGGGAAACAATGGCAGATTTATATGCCTTATTCTGTTAATTTTAATAGTCTTTATGCAGGCAACTGAGGAGGAAAGTGATCCATGTGCAGCTCTATGCAACACGCAGCTGTAGCAAACAAGCTGAGGATTTTGCCCACTGGCCTTGCCAGCAGTAGGTGTGTCTGTTCGGGGCGCCGGGGACTTGGGGAGGGACCTGTTTATGTCTGTGGACAGATGGGATCCGTGGCAGAGGCTGAGCTAGCATCGCTCTGGGCCACGGGTGACTGTGCTCAGCCAGTCTCGCTGACCGGGGACAGCAGGAAAATCTGCTGCTTGGAAGCCAAGGGTCACATCCCTTCCCCAGCCGAACGCTGCCAATGCCCTTTGTTGGAAGTGGAAGGTGGTGCCGGCTTTGCCAAAAGGGTGGGATGGGGAAGAAATGATTCACTTGGCAAAGCTCGCCCCTGTTCCCAGTTGCAGCTCCTCTGCTCCAAGGGCCTGGCCCAAATAACAGATGCCGACAGCGCTGCCTTGTGCTCCGTGCTGCGAAGGATGTTCAGCGTGCGTCCCGTCTGCCTCCTGACCCACCGGCTCCTTCGTGGGAGCGTGAGCGTACACGTGGTGTCCCCCCTCCAGCTGCTGTCGGATAGAAACTCTTTGCAAGCAAGCCAGAGAAATTACTAAAGCAAAGAGCAATGTATTGCCCAGGGAGAGGGGTGAGGACCGAAAATGCTCAATCTTCTGCTTGAGTGGAAAGCAAGGTGGGGGAGAGGAAGCGTGCGAGGGGGTAGAGCTCCTAGTCAGAATAAATATTTGAATCCTTCCAAACTCGGCTGAGGGCTAAAGTGATAAATTTGTTTTTTGTAATCGGCTTATAAATATTTAGCAGCCGTGAGATGAGCACGCGGCAGTCGCAGCTCACTATGAATTTTGTATGGCAGAATAAGCTGCGTTTGCACTCCTGAAGGAGGAGGGGGGCTCTCGGTGCCCGGCTCGGCTGCCAGCCCCCTTTCCGGGGCGGATTAACTCGCATCTGCTCTGCCTTCCTCCTCCGTAGAGCAGCTCCAGCCCTGCCCGTCTGCCCGGGTTCATGCCCGAGCCCTGCCGTAGGCAGGCAAACCTTGCGTCATGCGAAATGGTGCTGGAGTGCCTTGGAGTTTGCTCAGCAAACCCTCCCACCCGCAGGGTGCGATCCAGGAGGGGCTGAACTGATTTCTCTCTTGATGATAAGCTATTCCAGGTCTCTTTGGATGAAAGGCAACCTATACATGTCTAATATGAACAGTAAGCTGCTTAACAAAAGCTAAGGCGGGTATGCAACAACTTTGCTTTATTCTGAGCCCGTCCTATCTGATCGCTCTCGGCCAGGTTTAGGTGTTGAATGGTTCCTTCTCCCCCTGCCCCAGCTTCTGTTGTGTGTTTTTCCAGGTCCTTTTACCCATTTGATATATCAGCATGTCTGTGATAAAGGAGAGAGCCTGACCAAGATGAAGTAAAGCTTTATCATAATCATTCACTGAGCTGCCACAGCTCCTCTGGGGGGAAGCAGCTTCCTGACAGTGAGAGTAATTAGCAGGGATGTAATCTCCCCAGGGAAGCGGCGGAGGGACGACGGCTGGGCTTCAGGATGTTGTAAAATAGTCCTCTAGAAACTGTGGTGGCTTGAGAAGAAGACAGGCTGTGACAAACGCTTTCTGTCCTTTAGATGCTGTCAGGTTGATAAAAGCGATGCATGGGTGTTTGGAACCCGTGTCCTATGCAGCCTCGCTTCTCTTGGGACCAAGCGAGGTGATGAAGTGAAAACCTTTAAATGCCAATAGCAGATAAATGAGCTCCATTTGTAGAGGAGGAAGAGGGGAGATGTTCGGGTTCAGTAAAATGCAGAAACGTTGGGCCATGTCTTGGCTTCAGGAATTGAGGTTTAGTGCCTTTTGTGATAGGTTTCCAATGCACTGCTGCTTCTGCAGTTATTGCTGTTGTTTTTCTGCTTCGTACCCCGCGCTCCTGCCCCTGAGCGGCAGTGCAGCCACGATGCCCTTCTTGGGGGATTTTTGGTTTTTAAGGGTTGCAGTGTGGTTGTTCCTGATACGTGTATGATCCAGGAGGTGCATCTGTACAACCTGATGTCACCAGCCCATATCTGCATCCATGCTCTGAGCAGAGAGGATGATGTCTGAGTTTAGCTGCTCTTCTTGGGTCGTAGCTATCAGTAAGAAAAATGACCTGTTAAGTGGTCAGGGGCAAAGAATGAGGCAGGCTACTGAGAATTAGCCTCAGACCTGGCTCCTGACATCCCTTAATCCTCCACTTCCAGCTGTCTGCTATCAAGTAAGTGGCTCCGATGCTGAATTTGTAATGAATGCTGGGCTCAGAGGTTCCAGCATCAATTTCACAAAATGAAATAGTTGCCTTGTGTTCTGTCTTTAGCTCTTTTAGGAAGAGATTAAACCTCCTTCAGAAAAAACTTTGGGAACTGAATAAAATGTGTGGGTTTTAGCTTTTTTTTTTTAAGAAAAAAGGAGATGCACAGTCCACCACTTTGATGTTTTTTTTTCCCCAAGTGAATTAGTTGAAGAACTAATGAATATTCTGTAGCTAATTATGGCACTGGACAACCATCATCTCCTATGAATAATTGCAGTGGTGCCCCATGTTTCACTATCGCCGCAGAAGGAGTTCTTTCCCGTTTGCAGTAACTGTGGATGTGGTGTTTTGGCTGTTGCTGACCCATTTTGGGGGTCT